CTGATAGTTATGGAAGGAAGGGAGGGAGGGAAGGAAGGAAGGAAGGAAGGAAGGAAGGAAGGAAGGAAGGAAGGATGGAAGGAAGGAAGGAAGGATGGAAGGAAGGAAGGAAGGATGGATGGAAGGAAAGAAGGAAGGATGGATGGAAGGAAGGATGGATGGAAGGAAGGAAGGAAGGAAGGATGGATGGAAGGAAGGAAAGAAGGAAGGGAGGGAGGGAGGGAGGGAGGGAGGGAGGAAGGAAGGAAGGAAGACAATGTTCTTAAAGGAAGGGACTCGGACTAGAATAACAGGATTTTAGGGAATGGAGTGAAGGTGGTCCAGGTATGAGTGTCCCCTAAGCAAGACAAACTTAGACTCCATACCCACCTGTAATGGTGACCTAATATTTGCTGCCCTGAGCTTGGCCTGGGAACGCAGAGCTGAGCAGGGGGTAGGGAGAAGCACAGCCTCCTGGTGGTAGAGAGGGCACAGAGCCAGGAGGCTGCCCTACCAACATGTTTGTTAAGGAAAAACAGTGGGGTGGGGGATGAGAGAGAGCATTTGGAAAGAGGGCAGAGGGCAGTCTTAACCAGCACACCAGCTGCCTGAACTTTCTATGGTGCCCATACAGTGCCGACCCTCCCTCCTCAGCTTGTGGAATGGGGGTCCTGCATGAATAAAGACAGGCAGGGGCTTCATGGTACAGGAACAAAAGTAATCGGGTGAGGGGGGCCTGAGGAAGGGGGAAGAGGAGGGCAAAGGGAAGAAAGGATTCTTATTTGAGAAGAAGACCATTTCCACAAACAAGAGTGAAAACTCTGGGTTCTCTTTCCATTTTGCCATGAAAGTTAGGCAAATCCTTTTGCTTTCCTGGGTCCGTTTCCTTACCTGCAAAATGAAGGTTGTGGCCCATTTCTAAGGTTCATCGCAATGATACTGGGCAGCTGTAAGTTGGCTGCGTGTCCCCCGGTACCCCGTACTTCTGCAGCTAACCTTCACCATAACACAGTCCTCCCCTTGAGTATTTCTTTGTTTGTGCAAAGCCAAGGCTGAGAACGTGGCTTCCTAGCCCTTCCCCAGCTCTCTTGGCACCTGGCACCTCATCTGTAAAGGGACATAATACCCTTCTAAATGCGGAGGTCCAAGGCTGGGGGCTGAGCAAGGTCCCACCCTCCACTGACATCCCATGAGCTGAGCTGCAGAACCTACTGCTGATTTAGACGAGTTCTCATGGCATTCTTACATGGAGCTATGGATGTGCCCCAAGCAGGTGTGAAGCTCTTGGATAATTAGGAGACACTAGAGTAGGGAGAATCAATAGAGGTAGTGTCTCCTGAAGGGGAAACAGAGACCCAGAAAAATCCAAGCCTTGTTCCAGACCGCAGCCAGTGAACACCAGAATGCCTTGCCCTCTCCCCAGCACCGCACGCCCTCCAAGGGATAGCAGGACTGGTTCCTTCTTTCTCCCTCTGTCCCTGGATAAGGGAAGGCCATGGCCTCCCATCCCCTCATCCCCCTGCCTCAGGAGCTGGAAATTCAAGAGAACACAGACATGCAAGCAGCTGCCTCTCTCCTCCTTCTCGGCTCCCAGGAGCTATGATACAAGCCCCTAAACCTTCCAAGAACCTTCATGTGTGTTATTTTGTAAGGTCTTCTCTCCATACCTCACACCTGCATCTTGCCACCGGACAGACAAGGCCAAGATCAAGTCCACCTGTAGTGCCCAGCCCAGGCTGCAGCAAAGTTGGACAGTAGCTCCCTCAGCCCAGAGGCTTTGTGGCCATGAGGTGAGGTCCATGACCTCTACTATGTCCATTAGCGTCAACCCAGGGAGCAGTAGAGCTACCTCAGCCCAAGCCTTGAGGTGGTCCTTGTCTATCAAAGTCCTACTTTATTCAGACACCTCCTGACAGACCTGACAAAAGAAACATGTAGCCAGATCGCTTAGCAGCCCCTTGCTCCATTAGCCTCTCCAAGGTCACACACTGCCCCGTTTCCCCACCCTCAAAGACAGATCAAGGGGACACTACCTGATTTGCAGCAGTGGTGTCCCCAACTTACAGTCACACAAGCCCTCCGCAGAGAATCTACTCCATCCTGAGCCTTTGCTGGGAGTACCATCTTGCCTAGGCATAACATTTGAAGTCTTGATATGAAGAAGTTCCTCCTCCCCAACCCAACCAGAGGCCAAATGCCCAAAGTTATACTTACAGTTTGCAAAATTATCACCACAAAGAAACTGGGTTTGATGTTAGGCAGGGGACAAAATCAGTCTTCCCTTCACCCTTGTAGAGTATTAGAACATGGAAGCTTCTCCCTCTCATACCTGTATCCCCAGCATCAAGCACTACCCAGCACGTGCGCACTCAGCATGCTACGGAGTGAACTTCTCAGGGTCTCCACTCTTAATACGCCACAGCTTTGGGGCACGAGGGAGACCCACCGCCCATACACCAGGAATGTGTGTACGGATATTATGGGAACATCTCTGCAGAACTACTCCAGCCCTCATAGCTCAGAAAAAGCATCCCAAAGGAGTATCTTCCGTGAATAAATGTTTGCACTGAATTTCTTCCATTGAATCCCTAAGTCTCTAGCAACTGTTGGGGCCTGGACCTTTTCAGTCCTTTCACTCAGGATGAAATCCCTCCAAATATATATGTGAGAATGCCAGCTTGAGCACTGCACACATGCTGATACCTTTTTTCAACCTTCTTAAGCACAGGACAGCTTGGTACATGGAACACCTTGCCACCTACCTCTTTGGTTTCCAAAGCTGAGCATCCTGGCTGCTGTGACGAGGTAGGTCACCTCATCACAAATGGATGCAGAGGGCTGTGAACAGTGTGACCTGGATCCCATCAGGGCAGTTGGAAATTGAAAACCATTGGAATGTGTTTTGGGTTAGCAGAGGTGACCTTGAAACAGGGGCATGCAGCAGGGACTGCTTCGCTCTGGCTGGAAAAGACAAGAGCACGACGCTGGTCTGTTCAAGCTGGGACCTCCTCCCCTTTCCCTCCAGCAGCAAAATTTAGGAAACAATTCGACTGCCAAGCGCAGCTGAGAAAAAGAGAAATGAATGGAATTTTGCTTTGTTAAGTGAGTAGAGACAGGGAATGAAGGTCAGAAAGAAAGGAAGGCAGGCAGTCTGTGGTTGGCAAATACAGAGAAGGGCCAGTGGCAGCCTGCGATGCCCCTGGGGCATTATCTGATGAACAGCAAAGACAGACACTTTTCCTGGCCCTTACTTATTCTCTTTAACTATTTGGGGAAGGCCTGTGTGAAACGGAGGCGTACCAAGAGTAGACAGGCAGCAGAGCCTGCTGCATCTGACAATACCCTTTGCATCTGACAGATAGCCTCTGACAGAGGCAGAGGAAAGGATTTGCGGCTTAGGAGTTTCACCTACCGTAATCCCCAAGAAAGAAAGGAGGTGCTTAATTCATCCTACAGACCTCTCAACCCTGGTTGAGATTCCCATTAAAATCACCTGGGAAGACTCTATAAAATCACGGGTACTTGGATATCACCCCAGACCAATTAATCAATGTCTTGAACAGTGTTCTGGGGTGGGGTTGGGGGGGTTTGTTTTTAAAGCTCTCCAGGTAATTCTACTGCGCAGTTAATGTTAAATTAAGAAAATCGCTGTCTGAAACTAACCAAGCCTGGAGAATTCCAAGTTGACCAGACACACCTTCTCTACCTGGAACGTGGAAAGGGGCTGCTCTAATTGGAAGTTGAGGTTGAGCATCCTCTCACGGTGCAGCACCAAAGGCCAGGTTTACTGCTGTGTCCCCACAGGACACTGAATGAGTACTTCAAATGCTTGGTTTAATGTAGGTTCCCAGAGACTAGGAGTTAGACTAGGAGCCAGAACAGTCAGGCTCGGGGAGGAATGCTGCAGTCACAGAACTGACTGCCTTCTTCCAGGACCAGAACCCAGCATCCATTGGCCCTGCTAGGCAGGGAAAGGGCTGTGGACATTCACTCAAGGAGGCAGCTGTGCTCATTAAAAGAAATTAAGGTGTTTTTATTATCATGCTTCCTCTTTTTTGTTTCTTGTGAACCACTTCCTTACAAACTGCTGTCTCATTGTCTCCATGGGCAGAGACTAGCTAGAAAATTTTTTTTTTGCGGTACGTGGGCCTCTCACTGTTGTGGCCTCTCCCGTTATGGAGCACAGACTCCGGACACGCAGGCTCAGCAGCCATGGCTCACGGGCCCAGCCGCTCCGCGGCATGTGGTATCTTCCCGGACCGGGGCACGAACCCGTGTCCCCTGCATCGGCAGGCAGACTCTCAACCACTGCGCCACCAGGGAAGCCCTAGAAAATATTTTGAGCAAAAGGTCAGTCTAGCTGGTAAGTTCCGTTCAGTATTATCTATAGTCATTAAGCTGCATTTCCGAGAACTGGGGGAGAGAAAATACTTTGTTATGTGATTCAGGAATACATGTTTTATAGATCAGAGATGGGACCTGAGGCTGCCTGCCTTCTCCGTGACTATCTTCCCCCTGCCTACTGCCAAAATTCCCCACAGGTTGCTTCTTACAAGGAATGAAGACAGATCTTTGGAAATGGGTACAACAGTATAACATTAACACATTCCCAACATCCCAAAGCCGCATTAATGCAAAAGTGTTGCACTGAATTATGGGTTACAATGCACAGGCTATTTAGACATCAGCCAGTTCCAGGATGATCTAGGATCTGCTGGAACATTCTAAATCAGGAGTCAGCAAACTTCTTCTGTAAAGATACAGATCATAAATATCTTCGAATTGTGGATCACGTAGCCTCTGTCCCCACTACCCAGCCTTGCCATTTTAGTGCAAAAGCAGCCACGGACACTATGTCAGGAAGGCTGTCTGGGTAGAACTGTATTCCAACAAAACTCTATCCATACAGAGCGACAGGCTGGATTTGGTAGTTTGCTCACTCCTGTTCTACCAGAGCATAGCTTCCGTAGATTGAATTGAGTGATATTTAATGGGTGACAAGTAAAAAGGAAAGACTGACATGGTAAAAGACCGATCTGGATTTAATGACAAATATTCCATACTGGTTGCTGAACACCACAATGCTGTCCAGGGAACCATCATTAAATAAAACCTGAAAATAAGGCAATTCTCACATACACAAGCACACACGCACACAAAACCTGTTACTTTTAGGATCATTAAATTATTCACCATTTTAACACACAGCTGTAAAATAACATTACAGTGAAGGAAAATGTGCACAAACTTCAGAAACACAGTTCAGATTGTCTACGAACACAGGTTCTTAATTTGTACTTTTTCACATATGTACAGCCTCTGGATCTTGAAGAGGCCACAAGGCTCAAGGGGTTAACGTCTCGTCTTCTCCTTCCAGCTCAGAGCTCAATATTTAATCAAGCCATTTAACCTATTTAAAACTGCTCTAGCTTCTTCTCAGTAAAGGGCAGCCTGCACTTGACCAAACTCCCCAGGAAATAAATGATACATTTGCCTCCACCAACATTGATGAGTTGGTGGAAGGAATCTTCAGAGTAACATTTTCAAGGGTGAACCAGTTACCAGGGTTTGCTTTAGAAATACTATTTTTCTAAAACTAGATACAAGAAACAACCTCCTGAATGCACTAAACCTCACTTAATGCAGCTAGGTTCGTTGAAGAATTATAAGAAAAATGGAATCACATTTTAGCTGCACCATAAGAGTGGGGTGTTTGGTGCCTGGACTGTTTTCTTCTGCTCAGGGATGTGGTCACAGAAGGGATAGTGAAGTAGTGGCTGGCTTTCTTATCTATGGTAACGGAAAGAACAGACTGGGTCAGTGAAATCCAAAGAATCCCACCGCCGGTAAATTATTTTACATTAGCTTCAATCTCCTCTCCCCATTGAACCCATGCTCGAAAGTTGCTGCTACGGAACACACTAGATGCAGATGAGACTGTGCAATCGTACGAAAATGTCAGCAAAAGACCAAGTGACCCAGAATGTGGATCATAAACCCATGAATAATCAAAAGTTGGATGAGATTTCATAGGCACAGACTCAAGAGAACTTAAAACAGCTGGAAGAGGTAGATGTGCATAAAAAAACACAAAGTAATACGATTACCTACAAATTGGCTATATTATTTTCATGTGAGCCTCATACACTTGGTATTCAGACTACAAGAGTCAGAATAAATAACGGACGCTTGCTTTGCTCAGATTACTCTTGACTAAAATAAAAAGGAATTAGTATCTTCCAAAACTATCTATAGTTTGAAAATCTATTTGCATTTGTGAATAACAACAAACTGATTAAGAGGGCAAGATCAACAGGCATTATACAAGCCCAGAATTCTCAGGGTTTTTTTTTTTAAGTGTTATGATGGCAAAAACATGCTTTCCTAGAGTCCCCAAAGAGGTTCTTTGCTAGAATACAACTGATCAAGTATAAATTACCAGTGTCCATAGAAAGCTTGCTAAAACCGTAAAAACAATCTTGTGGGTTGTTTTTTTTTTTTCCTTCAAGTGTGTCCAACAGTTTGTGAAGATGCTTCCATGAAAAGTATAGGTTAACAACTGCTAATAAAGGAAACAAAACTGCTTTCCACAACTCTACCTTCTAAAGGCTAACCTAAGGGAGGGATTTTTCAGCATAGGTAACTGAAGTCTATACAAGAGTCATCTAACTATAGCCCCTACTAGAAATGGAACATATCTAGGACACTCTAATTACATGACAAAGACCAGCTTTGTCAACAAGGACATCTTTGGCCCTTCTAGACTAGCCTTACGTGTTCCATCAAGCGTTAAGAATTTTCAGCGTCCTTATTATAGAAATCACGACAGGTAAGTCTTCCTAGCAGCTGAGCTGGAGAGCACCAAAGGGCAGACCACACCTATCCACACTGTCATCAGCCTCTCTTCAGAACTACCTGTCACACTCCTGTCCCCAGGCCTTCCCTAAGACAGGGGTCATAATACTGTTCTACCTCACAAAGAAGTGAGAAACAACTAACAAGCATTAAAAAGCACTTTTGAAATACAAAAGTGCTATTTTGGCATTTATATAACAACCGGAAGACATTCATTGCTTGTGCTATTTGGCAAATTTGCATTTACCCCTCTCCCTGCTTGTGCCCTCCTTGTGTAAAGTCTTGAGCTTTCTACTGTGCCGCCCTGTGCAGGAAAGAGAAATTTCTACTCAGACCAGAGCCCATATCAATATGGGTGGGGGTGTGGGTTCGAATATCTCCCCCATTACTGCAGAGGGGGAGGGGTACACAGATACAAAATGAAGGCAAATGAGACGTAGGAGCCTGGCGCCCCAACATGGGAACATTTGCTTTCCTGGATTTCTCACGTAAGGCCAGCAAAACTCTGAGCAAACTGACTTTTGTAGCAGGTCGCTGGGGCAACTGTTGATGGCCTGAGTTTCACTTGAAACAAGCATCAAGCTGACCTGAGAAAGGAAAAGTCACACATAGCTGCGACTGTTCCATTTCCCAGCACTTAAAAAGATCACAGATGAGACCTGAAAGAAATACTGGGCCTGGAACACACCTGACACCGGGGGCAGGGGTCTGGTCATCCATACGGACTACCTTGACCCGGCATGAAGCTAGACTATTTTAAAGGAAGTAGCAAAGAACCAGGAGCAGGACCACGATTTCCCAGATCTGAAAACCAGCTGTGAATGAATTTCTAAACCTCAGAGATTCCACCCTGGAGACGAGGGTGCGTAGCTTTTCTGCCCAGTTTCCCCTGGACACCTCAAAATAGCAGCTAGCTGTGGCTCAGAGGAAGGAAGGGAAGAGGACACAAATATCCACTCCCGTAGGACGGACAAAGCTCCTCTACTTTTCGCGGGACTATAGCTGATGTGTGGGGACAGGGCCAACAGTGGCTTAATACCTGCTGAAACCAGGACAGAATTACTCATACCTGCCTTTCACTTTACCCCGTAACCCTCACTCCAACCACACGCTCTCCCAGCTCTCCCCGCTTCCCACGGGCCATCACTGCCCAAGCTACTCTATTGCCTGTCATCCTGTACCCTCCCCACCCCCAACTCCCCTTCCTCAAGGTCCTCAAAGTGCCTGCTCCTCCACGCTCTTCATCCTCCACAGCGTGTATGTGGTGACGTCGCCACGCTCAAGCACACCTCCCAAACATTTCTTCCTTAGGGAGGAGGCAGGCAAAATACAGCACCCCCGAAGGAATAAGTCTTACTCAACCCTCCCCTTCAGGACCCCCAACACCTCAAGGCTCCCCAGTCATTCTCCGATTGCCCCTCCCCCCTTCCCCATTTCTTTCTACAGGGTCTGTCCCCAGGACATCTAGCCCCCCGCCCCGCCCCCCAGTGCGCAGCCTCCGTCGGCGTAGCCCTAGCACAGGTGCAGCTTCTGGTGCTGCGCGAGGTGCGTCTTGTAGCGGAAGCCCTTGCCACAGCCGGCGCACTTGTGCGGCTTGTTGCCCGTGTGGATGCGGCGGTGGCGGATCAGGTGCGAGCTCTGGATGAAGCTCTTGCCGCACTCGATGCACGTGTAGGGCTTCTCGCCCGTGTGCGTGCGCTGGTGCTGCGTGAGCGTGGAGAAGTCGCTGAAACGCTTCTCGCACTGGCCGCAACGGAAGGGCTTCTCGCCCGTGTGCACGCGCAGGTGGTTCACCAGGTGCGAGTTGCGCCCGAAGCCCTTGCCGCATTCGCGACACACGTACGGCCGCTCACCCGAGTGCGTGCGCTTGTGCGTGAAGAGGTGAGAGCTGACGCTGAAGGTTTCCCCGCACTCGGAGCACATGTAGGGCTTCTCGCCCGTATGCACGCGCTGGTGCTTCACCAGGTCCGAGCGCCAGCTGAAGCGCTTGCCGCACTCGCCGCAGCCGTGCGGCTTCTCGCCCGTGTGGATGCGCTGGTGGTTGGCCAGGTGCGAACGGCGCACGAAGCCCTTGCCGCACTCCCCGCAGGCGAAGGGCCGCAGCGCCGCCGGCCCCGCGCCGCTGGCCGCCGCGTGCGCCCGCCGGTGGCTCAGCAGGTGCGAGCTGAGGCTGAAGGCCTCGCCGCACTCGGGGCACGGGTAGGGCTTCTCGCCCGTGTGCAGGCGCCGGTGCTTGAGCAGGTCGGCGCGCCAGCTGAAGCTCTTGCCGCAGTCGGCGCACAGGTTGGGCCGCTCGCCCGTGTGCAGCCGCAGGTGATTGGTCAGGTAGGTGTTGCGGCTGAAGCCCTTGCCGCACTCCCCGCAGCGGAAGGGCTTCTCGCGCGGGGGCCGGGCCAGCGCGGGCCCCGCCCCGAAGGCCCCCGCCACGCCCACGCCCATCATCCCCACCACCCCGCCGCACTCGCCAGCGAAGCCGAAGGGCTCCAGGCTGGCGGCCGCGGCGGCCTCCGCCAGGCGGTGAATGCGCTGGTGCTGCAGGAAGGCGGCGCCCGGGCTGAAGCTCTCCCCGCAGTCGGGGCAGATGGTGGGCGCGTCCATGATGCTGGCCATCAGGCTGTCGAGCTCCCCGAGGTCCATGGCCATGGGGTGGTGGAGCCGGCGGAATCGGCGGTGGGCGGGCTTGTCACCCCGGTGTCGACTCCCCAGGGAGAGGTGCCGCCTCCAGGGAAGCACGGCAGGAGGCGGCTGCTCCTCTTCCCCCTCTTCTTGGGGGCTCCGGGAAATGCCGACGGACTCAGACAGCCCTGCGAACATCGCCATCTCAGCTACTCCAGCTTGGTCATCGTCTTCCTCACGGAGAGCAACCCCTTCTTCCTCGCTCAGCAGACCCTCTGCAACAGAAAAGGCGGCAGTGGGGGTGACTATACTGGGCGCTCAACAGGTAAACCCAGAGGAAGCCCGTCTCAATAAGAGGGTGGGCCACGGGGTAATCCCCTCCCCCGGGGACTCTCAAACTCTCTAAGGTCCCTGTCTCCTCCACCCCCACTTCCAGCCTCCTTCCCACCTGGTGACTCCTGGGGAAGGCCTAAAGGAGAGCGAGCTCACCTGCCCCCTTGGCTTTCCAGTTCTTCAGGCAGCTGTCTCCGGGCCCAGGCCCCACCCACTGGACCTGAGGCTCTGTTCCCCAGGGCCACCTGAAGGCCTGACAGCTTGAGAAGGTCAAGTCTGGGCCAAGTGGGACTCTCTGGGATCTCGGAAGACATCTGCCCACTCCAAGAGCCACCAATGCCTTTCAAGGCCCTAGCCTCAAAAGACAAGGCCACCCCAGCCAACCACAAGAAAAGACCACCCGGCCTAACTAGGCTCCGAACTGAGTTTTTGAATATGATGGGTCAGTCTGCAACCGCTTAAGGCGGAACAACAAACCCAACACACCCCAACCTAAGGGCTTTACTAGGTAAGGAGGGTGGGGGGTTGGGAAAAAGGGGAGGTGAGTGCAGGGCCTAGAGCTGGTGAGTCCAACTTAGAGGCTGATCCAGAACACACATCTGTCTGCCTCTGGCTGCTTATCCCCAAGCAGAGGACACCCAAGAAAGTTACTGGGATGTGAAAGATCACGTGCTCTGTGCACTGTAAGGGAGGGCAGTAGCGGGGGTCTGGGAGGTGTCCTGGGGAAGGAATGTAACCTCACGGCCCTGATCATAAGGTATTTCAGCTCATTTCTGTCCCCAAGGCATGCACAGAGCAGGATAAAGCAACAAAAGCCCAAAGATGGAACCAAGGAAGCGAATGGAGGCCCAGCGTTTACTCTTTCCAGATCACAAATAGCAAGGGATTCAGGAGAGGCCTTGGGCACTTTGGGTATTAGCCACATGAACCTGGGCAGGTCCCTTACCACTGTGTTTATTTATTTGCAAGCGGGGATGATGACTGTAACTGTAGACGTCTAGATCTGTGCTAAGCAACTCATCTAACTCTCCAACAACGCCAGGACGTAGGTCCCAATGCTACCTGTGTTCCCTCTTGTGCTGTTACAAGTGTTACTTTATGGCAGTATTTTGTATGCTGTAAAGTGCACGCCTGTGAGTTACCCTCTTCACCCATGTTTACCAGTACAGCCCACCTCAGACCAGACTGATGAACAGGATGTTCCTCAGGCGTAAGATGGTACAGAATCTGCTTAATGGTGTCCTCTAGAGAGCTGCCTCCTAAGAATGCTGCCCCTGGTTATCACTCTGGAGGAGCTAGAAATAAATGTGAATGCGGCAACTTCCACCGAAACTGCCGTTTTCTCCTCACCTGTGCAGATGTTAGACACTAGTTCCTTCTCCTCTGAGTCCCCTCTTAGAGCTTCATCCTGTGGGTTGGAGCCCATCTCCTGCTCCAGGTGGCATTCTCTCTTGTCTGCATCATGTGAGTTAGAGCCCATTCCTCTGTCTTCTGGGTCCCCTTCCCTGTTTTCAGAGTTCTCAAAATCAGAGTCCATCCCCTTGTCTTCTGAGTCCTGGGCTTCACACACGCCCCGTTTATCTTCTCGTTCCATCCAGGAAGACCAGGACAAGGGAGGTGACCACGGATCCCTGCTCCAGACAAAACACACAGATAAAGTCACGTGAGTCTGGCCTCATCCCCCTACCAGGTCTGGCTTTGATTTCCATGAAAATCAATGGCACAGTCCAATAAAATGTACAGAGTTCCAAGCCCCAGATGGCAGATCTCTGCTCCATCTCACGCTTTAAGGTAAATAGAACTGAGCGAAAAGGAGGCTGGTCTGCCTGGGTAGCAGAGAACAGTGGCAACTCATGAGGCCACGTGTCAGCTTTCACTGGACTACAATTCCATCTGCTTCCATATATGAAGTAGATTATTCTATTAACACGGTTCTATAGCTTTAACAGCGGGGTAACAGTGGTATTCCCATTTTACAGATGAGAAAACTTAAAGCTCAAAAAGAAGACCCCGCTAGCCTAAGGCTAACTTGTAAGCAGTAAAGTAGGAATTAAACCAATTGTGCTGCTTCAAAGTTCCATGAGTTCCTTACTCTAGTTAACGCTTGCCCTCCTCTACATAGATGCAATTTTTATTTGTATACAATATTTTATTTACTGAGGTCAATTATACCTCAGTAAAGCTGGGGGGGAGGGGCAGCTTGCCCTCCTCAAACCCACAGCAATTTTGTGAGGATTTTAGCTAATTATGAGGGGGCCTCTAAGGACCCAGAGGAAAAGTACATTGGAGACACAAGACTAACAAAAGCATTGGTATATTAACTCCTTATCTAAGACTGTGTCACCAACAGCAGCAGCATCCTGGCTCCAGTGAGGATCTGCTGCTCTCCTGTGAGCAGTGAGCCAAGTGGTTCAAGCTTTAGTAGGTCTGTTGGGGGTGGTGGAAGGGATGCAGGGACCCTCTGTATCAGAAGCCATCTCTATAGCCTGATGAAATATCTTGCCTTATTATATACTTTAATTGTAGAGAGCCCTTAACAGGAACGTCCCCTGGCACAACTGGTTAACCCCTCTACAGAACAGGCCAACGTGTGAGTTGTAGGGAGACGATGACATCAGATTCCTAAACCCTTTTGGAGATGGCAGGTTTACGTTTCAAAAGTATAGGGCGCCCTGCCAAGACTGCGCAGCTGAGCCAAAAATAATTGACGTCTGCCGTCTATCAGCTCAAGGCAGCAAAACACTTTACGGGTCAAGGATCTTGGACCGACGTTGAAGTGTCCAGCTCTCTCTCTGCCTTGGCAGTCCCCACACAGGACTAGCAAGCATATGGCTGACCATGCGGCTTTTCCTACCTGCCTCTGTTGACAGGGCTTCCCAGAGGCAGCCCTGGCTCTGTGACGCTTCCGGCGTGGAAAGCAGGAGTTACGGGCAGCAGCCTTTCCGGTGGAGTCAGCCTTACTCTGCAGCCCAGGGCAAGTCAGTTAACCTCTCATCGTTTCAGTGTCCTCCTCAGGGCAAGGAGGATAAGGCTACATAACCTTTCACACACGGAGGGTGTCAGAAGCAAACATTAAAAAGCACTTTGGAAAATACTGTGGCAGGGACTCGATACTCTGAGTAGTCCAAATTCACACAGTATTCCCCTTTCTAAGTCCTGATGCCATTCCAGCACACCTCAAAGACACACCAGCCCCTCCGTAATTCTGGCAGACTCACGGCCCTAAATAGCACATTATATCCTTTCTCAGAGCTGAGATATGCTCCCTAGATTAGAGGGAAACATCAAGCCTGCCTCTTAAACATCACAGGAAAATGGCTGGACTGAGGATGGTCAGTCAGCAGTGTCCTAAAGGAACACAGCTGGTCCCTTTAGAATGTATAACTGTTTAAAATGCCAGGTCCCAAACACTCAGGATTAGGCTGTAGGAGAAAATCCCTTTAAAGCCATAAACCTTTTAAGAGGTCTATCCCGCAAGGGACTGTTGACCCCAAGTCACTTCGACCCATCACCCTCTTGCCTCCTGGAGCTCAGACTCTACAGACAAGTACAGTCCTTGAGACTGCATAGATATAACACACCCCGAAGATGGGCGGTAGGAGGTTTTCAAACATGTGACCTGTTGGTTTGCTAGTGGCTGAAAGCAGTGGAGAGGTGGGAGGGGGACTTAAAGGGGACCTAATCAATGGTTTCTGCCAATCTGAGACCAGCAAGAAGAATTTTATCAATAAAGGAAATCAAATAAGTGTGTCACCAGAAATTCATAAAACTAAAATGGCAGGGTATGGTACCCAGAATGGTGCAGAAGTAACTGCAGCCCTCCACCATGAAGGGTAGGATTTAACGGTCTACCCTGGGAAGCAGGAGAGCTTAAGGTTTTACCCCAAACCCTTTTCAGAAGGACAGAGCGCCTTCTTAGAGATCACCTCAGACACAGCAATAATGGAACAAGCGGACTTTCTGATTTCTTGGGAACCAAGAGATAGTTCATACCAGAGATATTAAATAAATAAACTTTTTTTTTTTTTTAGATTTAAGTGGGGAGAGCAGGGAGAGGCAGAATCTGAGTAAGTTCCCCATTTAGAGCTGTCTTATGAAGTTCACAATGCTGCCCCACTCAGGATTAAGGAGGCTCTGAGCTCCCAAAGGGAGCATGTCCAGATCCTTATTCTCACCAGGGGAGGGAGGATTAGGTATGCTCTGGAAAGAGTAGGAAGCTCCTGTTGCCTAGAGGTACACTCATGGTACAACATCTACTCAAATCTGTTTTAAAATGCATTATGTCAGGGCGAAACTGGAAATCTGCATGCCCCACAATATGGATTCAGCTCCATTCACACAATCACATCATAGGATTCTACGCAGCTATCAAGTAACGGAGAAGGCTATTCACAGGTATAGAAAGGTAGTCACAATATATTATTAGATGGAAACTAGCTGGTTTAAAAATCATCTCATCTGTTTATTAGTATATGCACACCAGCATATAGTTACACATGTCTACACAGGTTCAGAGAGGAAAACCAGAAGATTATTTACCAAAGTATTAAATATCTCTTGGTCACTTCTAGGGGCTTTGCATCATTTAATCTTAACAACAGCCCAATGAAGCAGGGTATGATTTTCAACTTCAGAGACGAGGAACTAGGCACTTAAGTTAAGCGATTAGCTCAAGGTCATACAAATCATAAGTGGCACAGCAGGGACAAAGCCCCTGCAGTCCAGCTCCAGTACCCACATTCTTAACCAGAAGCTGGTGTGTTGTCTGGGATAACTTTTCCTTTTTGTGAACATCAGTCTTTTCTACAATAAAGATGTATTATTATCAGCAAAATATGCCAACTTTGTTTTCAACGTGATAAAATACATTATAGGAAAACCTACAATTATTCAAAAGCAGCAAAAAGGAAGACAAGGACAGGAGTTGTGCTTAGCTCAATCTAGAAGACTTAATTTTCAGAAATGTTATCTCCACACCAGTATAATCGAACTGTCAGTCACCAGCTATCTAGGCACATTTTGTTCCATTCATTCTCAGAATAAGAACTAGCAACATGTTTTCTGAGGCAAGGCCAGGGTTGGCTAATGAGGAGGTGGCAGGACACCGTGACAGCTTTGTGGCTAAACTGACCTGGGTTCAAATCCTGTTCTTTGTCAGCTCCTTCACCTTGTGCAAGTGACTCAACCTTGCTGAACCTCAGATTCTGCATCCATAAAAACAAGCATGCTGCCACCTACCATCTAAGGTTAGTGGAAAAGCAGCTGGCACACTGTAGAGACACAATAAATGGTAGTTATAATATGAAACTTATGGCAATGACTTGATTAAAGAACACACACACACACTCACACTTCTCAAATTGGGGGTCACCTTTTCACAGCTATATTCACCGAGAATGGTGTTTGGCAAGTACGGACAAAAAACTTCCTCTGGTTTGGCCACTCAAGGCTCTATTAATGAAGAGCCCACCACGTGGAGACAAGAACCAGGGAGGGGCTGGCTGCTTAGGTGAGCTGGGGAGAGGGAAAAAGGTTCAGTTCCATGTTGGTTTGGAGATGCTGATAACCAATCCTGCACACAGGAAGTATTCGTCTGAAGTATGCGTGGTGCAACAAATCCTGACTTAAACCATCTATAAGGGAGCTCTTCTCCCCCCCAGTAAGAAGGGGTACAAGTTTAAAGGGGGAAAAAACCAAACAGAGGTAATAGTGGGAGTAGTCAGGCAAATAAGATCCATTCTGCATCTGGTTCTAATCACTGAACTAGCAGTAATGAGGAGAGCCCTGGTTTTGGCCACCAAAGACACTGTGCTGTGTGACTTACAGTAAGTACTTGCCCCTCTGGGCTTCTGTTCAATGAGGAGGTTGGGTATGAATGTGCCCGAGTCCTCTTCTCCTGGTCATGCCACAAGCAGGAGCATGAATCCAGGGAGGCACCACTGTCAGTTTCGTTAGACATGTTCAACTCCAGCTCGTTTAGCAGACTCCCACAGCAAGCTGTTAACTTCCCAAACACCCAAGACCGCCACCACCAGACCCTTCTCTAGGGCGCAGACCACATCAGGGTAGGATCAGCCAACTTTGCCGAGACTGCTCAAACTCTAGTTTTCAGGACCTTTAATATTTTCATGTTCCTACCCCCTACCCCCCCCCCAACTCAGAAAAGAGTAATGTTTCTAACTCTATAAAGTCACTAGGCTCAAGCGCCTTCTAAACAAGCTCAACCCCCTGCGGAAGACGAATCCGATCAGTCTGAAGATATTGCTACACAGTGGAGGTAAATGTGATAACGTATGTTGGAAGGAAGGATCGGGGAGGGAGGGAATGAGGTGGGGGAAGGGGAAGTGGAGCCAGCCACGGAGCCAGAATCAGAACTTCACCTGCCTGAGCTTCTTGGCACCTTCTCCCAACAGCGCCCTCTGGACCGATAGAAACGCAAAACCCATTCCTTTCCAACAGCAAAAGCGCCACCACTTTAAGGATTCAACGTCGCTTCTTGCCAAGACGTTGATGCCCACAGGCACACACCTCTCCCCCACCTTCCTGGTAGATGAGCCACTGGCCGTCCTTCTCTGGGGTATCGTGCGCAGGACCTCCCGTGTCACGCCTCCTGCTGGCGGGAATGGGAGTGGTGGAGTGCGGCGCTCACAGCCCCCTGCTGCCAGTCGTCTCCCGTTGGGATGCCCAATGCAGCTGACCCTGCACTGGAGCGGATCCCTCTCATTTGACTCCAGTAATTCCGTCGGGTGAGCACCGAGGGTCATCCACCCTGTTTTCCACGTGAAGAGAACTGAGGCTCAGCCAGTTGAGCTCCAGGTGACACAGCTCCTAGGTACTGTCAGGTCTCTCCCCAGCGTCTCTTGGCTCCTTGCCATGGCATTCCCACTCCCTGGGAAGGGGACAGCTGGCCAGGGCGTACCCCCCGGAGAGGAGCGGGCCCACCTGCGGCCCCTGGGCAGGCGGGATGGCCAGGCTGGGGGAGCCACCGCCTGAGAGCAGACCTCTCCCCGCCCCCTCCCAGGCGGGACAGGCAGTCATGTGCCACAGCCACTGCCAGGTGGCCGGGAGCCAGGCCGGCGGGGCTGTCATGTCAGGGGAAGGAAGCGGCCAGGCGGCCGGCCAGGAGCGGCTCCCACTCGGCCTCCTCCAGGCTGCAGCTCCTTTCCGGTCCCCTCTGCTCTGGAGGTCCCTTCCCTACCTCGGCGCGGCTCAGATCCCGCCTCCCCCGAAGCCCTCAGTGCTTCCTCCCTTCACTTCCCACGCCCCCTGCGCACCACTCTCTCCCCAGGGATGGTTTCCATCGCAGAGTCCGGCAGGGGCGCCCGGCTGCGTAGAATGCTGGAAAAACAATTTAAGTCTGCGGCTCTAAAGGCTGAACTCATGACCATAACTGGGGTCTAACCGGGGATTCCGGGGGGTTCATCATTTGTCAGTCTTCAGGCACCAACTGGGTAAACAGTCAACCAGCCTCTCAGGGGATACAGCCATCGAAGTCCTGCCTCCTCATGGGGTGAGCCTGTGGTCAGAAAGAATGAAAAGGGCAAAGAACTCCACCTCACCATACTGGGAGGGGATGCCTCCAGTGAACGGGGTGAATGTGTCTGCACCCCAAGGGCCAGCTGACTTCCCAGTCACACACCCAGACTGTCCAACCCCAAATGCCAACCTCCCAAGTGGCAGACTGCTGCATGAGGTGCACGGTAATTTCAGACACAGCTAAAAGATGACTGCAGCTAAGTACTGACCACTCTCCAGACAGGAGAAGCTAAAATAATATGGTTTCCTCCTTGTGGTGACTGCTTTTCAACCTGGAGAGGGAAGCCCTATTGGAAAAAAGAGACAGGCTCAAAACCAAGGCAACAGAGAAATCCATTTACAGCCCCATTGGCCAGAGCTAGTCTGAGATTCTTTCCAATCTTTATGGTCAAGAATAGCACATATGTCCTTGGGGTCAGGCATTTCCTGTCTCATGGTTGGGCCAGGACCCCTCAGTTTGGCTGTAGGGCCTCAGCTGCCAAGCCTCTGCCACCACCTAACAACTCCCGCACAAAATAAGAATTATTGCAATGCAGAGACAGATTCTAAGCTGCTTCAAAGTTAGACCATCTGCCCTCAGATGAGAAGGCACAGAAGCTAAAGGCTTTCATGCAGGCATTTACTTGTCCCAGATTTTACATTTAACTAAAATAGAATATTCTACCTGATGCACAGGGAATACTTCTGTTCAAGATTTTTTTCTCTGCTCTGCTTGGCATCGTCTACCAGCGCTACCTATGTAAAGCCTCAGCGTCTTTTTTTTTTTTTTTTTTTTAGTGGTACGCAGGCCTCTCACTGTTGTGGCCTCTCCCGTTGCAGAGCACAGGCTCCAGACGCGCAGGTTCAGCGGCCATGGCTCACGGGCCCAGCCGCTCCGCAGCATGTGGGATCTCCCCGAACCGGGGCACGAACCCGTGTCCCCTGCATCGGCAGGCGGACTCTCAACCACTGCGCCACCAGGGAAGCCCCTCAGCGTCGTTTTTTATCTAGCACCTGGGCAGTCCTCAGAAAAACTGTCTTCAGATAACTCCTCAGTAGTTGGCTCAAATGTTCAATGTCTGTATTTCGTGGAATCATATACTTGGGAATCCGTTCGCTGAAACTCCTTCCACAGACAGGAAATTGAGGCTCAGAGAGGGAAAGTGACCAGATCAGAGACTGAAAGGCAGTTTGCTAGAAAAATTATGGCCAGAATCTCAGTTTTCTGATGGCTTCTCCAGTGATCTTTCCATCTCTTTAATATAAAACATCACTTCAAAAACGGACAGCCAAATAAATTGGGGCACATACTTGTCTTTTTTTCCCCACGCTATTTGTCAGGGTTCTCCGGAGAAAGAGAACCAATAGGATGTGTACACAGAAAGAGAATTATTATGAAGAATTGGCTCATGTGTTTATGGAGGCTGGCAAGCTCAAAAATCCACAGGGTGGGCCAGCAGACTGGAGACCCAGGAGAACTGGTGCTGCAGTTCCAGTCTGCAGGCTCTTTGCTGGAGAACTCCTCCTTGCTCAGGGCAATCAGTCTTTTTGTTCTATTCAGGGCTTCACCTGACTGGATGAGACTCACCCACATTATGGAGGTCAATCTGCTTTCCTCAAAGTTTACCAATTTAAATGTTCATGGCATCCAAACACTCTGTCACAGAAACACCCAGAATAATGTTTGACCAAATATCTGTGTACCTACCGTCCCAGCCAAGTTGATGCATAAAATTAACCATCACCGTAGCTAAAAAATACATTCTGCAATAATCCCATCCTATGTCGAAATTTACTCAGGAAAACATCTTATTTTTCATAAAAAACATTACTATATACAGAGAATGGAATGGGGTCTCTGGGTGTATGCGTTGTAAAAGACAGCAGGGAAGAATCAAAATTAATCTTAATTAAAGATCTACAGACATGTGTGCGTACAGGCATACACACCCCACAGCAGCAAGAGCAATTTAATAATCTATTTCACTGAAGGACAAAAAAGAAAACAGACTTAGAATGCAAAGGGGGTCTATGGGGGATATGGGAGTTGTTAACAAACAGCTTTGTTCTGGGAGAGTTGATGTTGGAATCCCTCCTTAAGTTTACCAGATGGGGTCAGGTGACCTCAGGAAGTCTTTTCCAACCCAGGTGATTCTGTGATCATATTTCCACTGGAATGAACAGCCCTCAAGACAATGTTCATCACAGTGAATAGGGAGAGAGGAATGTTGGGACCAAAGGGTTTGAGGCATACATTCAATCACCCCAATTTCCCACTGCAAATTCAACAGGAAAAATGGCTCTTCCAATTCTCTGCCTAAAATAACTGTTTGGCATCGTTGATAAAGAATGGCTGGCATGTTCCAGCCCAGTTCATTTCAGCAGTGGGTAAATGACACCTCTGCATATAATCCTCCAAGGTGTCTTCCAACAAAGAGAAAGAGAGAATAAAAATGGAGGGACATCACCTGATGCTTCATTGTTCCTGCCTGATTAAATTTTAAACTCCATAGCTAGACTTTTTTCAGCGTAAAGTGAAACATTTACATACACTCAAGTACACATTTTTTAAAATTATATACTTGTTACTCTTAT